CTCTTTCAATATTTTTTCTCTTTATTTTCACCTTCTCTCTCTTTCAATATTTTTCCTCTTTTATTCTCTCTCTCTCAATATTTTTTCTCTTTATTTTCACCTTCTCTCTCTTTCAATATTTTTCCTCTTTTATTCTCTCTCTCTCAATATTTTTTCTCTTTATTTTCACCTTCTCTCTCTTTCAATATTTTTCCTCTTTATATTCCCTCTCTCTCTCTCTCTCCCTCTCTCTCTCTCAATATTTTTCCTCTTTATTCTCTCTCTTTCTCTCTCTTAATATTTTTTCTCTCTATTTGCTGTCTCTCTATCTCTCCACCTCTATTTTCTCTCTCTCTCTCCATCTCTCTCGCTGTATTTCCGTCTCCTTTTATCCAGCTCACGCGAAACCGGCGCTCGAGGACCCCGCGAATCATAGTGGTAACGCGGCCCGCGTATCTTTGGCCCCAATGACATAACACATCCGACCAATACACATGCTGGACCTTTTTTTAAACGTCCGGCCGTGAAACGATCGAGTGTCGGCGATGTTCCCACTCGAAACGGGCGCTCGACCGACGGGATGTTCCGAAAACGTGCCGATTGTTAACGAGACGTTTTGCAAATGGAGCTCGGGCTTGAATGGTAAACGATTTAAGTGCCAAAATCGACGGAAGTTAGGCTGGCTTTCTTTTTACTCCCTTTCTCGCTGGCGAAGGATGTTGAATGCGTGCTGCGCTGCAGCGAGCAGTGACGAGAATTTTGAAAGTTGTTTGCGTGAAATAAAATTTGGAGGAATTTAATACTCGATTGTTTATAATATCAACCCTTTGCGGTCGAGTGGTGACTCTAAGGCACCGCTAAAAATTGTATCACGCGACAAAATAATTTCAACGCTATCAAATTTATTTATATTTCAATGCGAATATTGTTGTTTATATTTCATGCGAATTCAATTTCGTATATTAAATACAATGCAATTATAAAATGCACCAGATTATATGAAATAGAATTACTACAGGTCAGAAAAACTATCTTGCATTCCGAGTTAAAATGGCTCCGATTAAAAAGACTCGAGTTTTATTTCGTTTATTGGGAAATATAAGAATTATTGTTGCTTTTTAGACCATTTGTAGAATGTTGGATTTTAGATCATCTCTAGAATGTTGGTTTTTAGAGAATCCCTGGAATGTTAGTTCATGCATCGTGGATAATCTTGTTCCAAGAAGATGCAATCCCTAAGACGCATTTGCTGTGCACACTGTATCGTCCAACTTCCAGAATTCAATTAGAACTTGGATTCCGTAATTGCATTCTTTCGAACAAGATTCCAATTGTAATTTTGCACTTACCTTTATTGGTAGAGAGTTTCACTCGCGAAGATCCGAGCCAACTTTTTACGGTGTATTCCAAATGGTTTGGTCCTTCCTGCAACAGAAATATTCAAACAGATTTTTCAAAATTGAAAAGAAATTTAGAGAAAGGTTGCAATAATTGTATTCTTATGCACCGAGTGTTGCGTTCATAGAAATGAATTTTTCCGTTATTTTTTTATTTCAGACATGACAAAGAAAATAATGGTTTGGATATATTGAGTATAATTATGAGATAATATAAATTGAATAGAATTATGAGATAAAAAAACATGTTATGTGAAATAATATTTCAAATAATGTCATTTTAAAAATGCTTAGGTATGATTTCAATATTTTGATATTTAAAAGATGTACATTTGTATTGATATATTGTGTATACCAAATTTAATTACATCTGCAAAATGCAGAAAAGTTTAAAGAATACTCAAAATTAATTTCTACACTCAGCTTAATTTTTCAATCCTTATTTCGTTAATTTCTCGCCCTATAATGGAAGTTTGTCAATTTTACATTGATTTCAGATCCATATAAATTACTTAATTTCTCACGATGAAATTATAAAGCAAGAAAATAAACAAATTACTTCTCACCATTACACACACATTATAAAGCTAGAAACTAAACAAATTAATTCTCACGATGAAATTATACAGCAGAAAAGTAAACAAATTACGTCAGCGAAGATTTTAGGATTGAATTAAGAAAATGCACACCGAATCACAGCCAAATCCTGGAAGAAATATATTTTGCATAATCTGCGGCACAAAATCGACGAGTTCTCAGCCGAGAATTACACGAGGGTAAACCGAACGGTCGGAAAGAAAGCTCTCGAGTCCCACACCTAACGCAGACGAGAAAGAAGTGCGAAGTGTGCGCCGGGGTTCTCGCGTCATCCAATTAACGGGTGACCCCCGTACCATCAATTAGCAAATTATTTTCACGGTTTATTTCGCCTTGTTGACGAGCCGTGAAGCGTGGTCGCACGGGGTGCCCATGCCGTTTCGAAAGAATCGCGCGGAACACGGTTCGGCGGCCACGTTTCAACAAGGACGTACAATTTACGCGGCGGGCATTGAATAAATTGGTGGGTTTATTGGTCGTGGCGCGCGGCTCAATTATATCACGCGCGGCCATTCTGGACGCGATAATTTACAAGTCTGGGAGTGGCGACGTCGAAGACGGAACCCAAGTCGAAGCTGAAGCCTGTTCCATTCAGGGAACATTTGACAAGGTTTTGATTAAGTTTTGTTATAACTACGCTGCGAATTTTTTTGCATTCATGGCAGGTGCAAGTTTGTAGAACGCGAGTATACAAAAGGGGGGCTTGCAAAATGTAAGTCTAAATGTTGCAAGTTTCTGAAGTAAAAGTTTATGAAATAAAAGTTTGTGAAGTAAAGGTTTATGAAGTAAAAGTTAAAAAATTACAAATTTATAAAGTGCAAGTTTATGAAGTATAGCTTTATGAAGTACAAGTTTATAAAGCAAAAGTTTATGAAGTACAAGTTGATGTAGTAAAAGTTTAAAAATTACAAGTTTATGAAGTAAAAGTTAAAAAATTACAAATTTATAATTATAAAGCAAATGAAGTATAGCTTTATGAAGTACAAGTTTATAAAGTACAAGTTTGTGAAGTACAAGGTTATGAAGTACAAGTTGATGTAGTAAAAGTTTAAAAATTACAAATTTATGAAACTTGAAGTAAAAGTTTATGAAACAAAAGTTTGTGAAGTAAAAGTTAAAAAATTACAGATTTATAAAGTGCAAGTTTATGAAGTATAGCTTTATGAAGTACAAGTTTATAAAGCAAAAGTTTATGAAGTACAAGTTTATGAAGTAAAAGTTAAAAAATTACAAGTTTATGAAGTGCAAGTTTATAAAGTACAACTTTATAAAGTACAAGTTTACGAAGTACAACTTTAAAAATTGCAAGTTTATGAAGTAAAACTTTATGAAATACAACTTTAAAAATTGCAAGTTTATGAAGTAAAACTTTAAAAATTGCAAGTTTGTGAAGTCAAACTTTATGAAGTACAAGTTCGTCAAATGCAACTAAACATGCATACAACCAAACAATAATTATATTATTACTCGATGGCTTAAAGTCCTGCTAATTTCGCATGCACTACGTCATACCTTATTTTGAACAATGAAAAGATTTAGTGTAAAATCGATCCAGCAACGATACTCAATTGTATCGGAATTAAGTTTCAAGATAACTAAAAACAAGCGAACAATCTTTCCTTCGCACTGCGTTGTCTTTGCAACTGCACGAAGCAGTATCGGCTGTATATACTCCGATGCATCAATCAATACGAAGCTAGACCGACACATTTGCAATAATTAAATCGCCAGTCATCTTACGCCGCGTAAAGGAACATCGGAAAGTACTGGAAACTTTATAAAGATGGAAGGAACTTTCAGGACAACGAAATGTATCATCCCGAGTTATCCTGACAGGCAGACTTTTGGGTGCGGTATTATATCTAGCTCGTACAACATGGAAGATCCGTTCAATTATAATTTCATACCGGTCGTCACGCTCCATCATTGTTACCGTATCCATTATTATTATTATTATTAAGTCCTTCCGAGGCAGATTTACACAGAGGTTCTATCGACTAAATCCGCACGGGTAGTTAGCAAAGCAAAAGCCGAAGCGGGGCGGAATGGGGCAGAATGGAGCCGCGTCGGTCTCGGTTACGTGCACGTTCAAGTATTTTAATGGCTCCATCAAACGTCCTTTTGGAATCCGATATCGCGGCGATTAAGTCGAAACCAGCGGAATGACACCCGACCGACTGGCTGCACTTTTTTTCTCTCGGCGATCGAAACGCCGGCGCCGCGCCGTTCCGCCGTTCGACGATAAAAAATATAATAAACGCTCGGAAAAAAGAGGTATGACGGATCGGACACGTGTCGTGGTCCGATGAAAATTATTGCCAATGGCGAAACGAGAAGATAACGCCGGCCAACAAATATCTCTTTTTCTTTCCTTCCTGTTACGCCTGTGACGCGCGGGATCATCGTTGATCCGTAATTGTATAACGAAGAAACCGGATGTCCTGAAGAAGTTAAGTGTCACTTTCACGTCGACGATCCGTTTCTACGGGAATAATTCTGAACTAGGTTACAATTAGAACAGTTTTTGCGTAATAACGAGCTGAACTCGCGACACGAATTTTAATCAGGATCCAGTGACTGTGTCAGTCGTGGTTGTTTGAGTTCGAAGTGGGATTTAACCGGTTGCTTGTTGCAATCTCTTTGAAAAGTGTGCAAGTCATTATAATTGTAGTTCATGTTTTCTTTAAAATACGACATTTTGATGAAATATACATATAATTTAATCAAGAAAATCAAAGTGTATATTCTATTTAATTAGTTAACTGTTTTTTACGACTATGCACATATGTCACGAAGAAATAGCAACATTTCACGTTATGACAAGTATATGCTCGCCAGTAAGCAGCGAACTGGTTAATTAGTGGAAATGTTCGATATTTATTGGTGATTTCACTTACTGGCATTTATTGCGAATTTTATTTTGCGATATTTATCGGTGATTTCACTTAAGCAGTGTTTATTATGAATTTTATTTCGTGATATTTATTGGTGATTTTACCTGGTGGCATTTATTGCGTATTTTATTTGGTGATATTTATTGGTGATTTTACTTAAGCAGTGTTTATTATGAATTTTATTTAGTGATATTTATTGGTGATTTTACTTAAGCAGTGTTTATTATGAATTTTATTTAGTGATATTTATTAGTGATTTTACTTAGTGGCATTTATTGTGAATTTTCTTGAGTGATATAATTGTGAATTATTGTGAATTTTATTTATCGAGATTAGTGATCTATTGATGTTTAATCGTCAAAGCGAACGTGGACATTTTCTTCGTCTCCCTTCGATCGACACAATTTTGTATTCATGAAAAATTACCGTCGTGACTGATCATTACTCGCCGTTTCCATTGACCAAATTTTAATCAATAGACAACGCAGATGAATATAATAATTACACGGCAATTTTTAAATGAAATTATTATTTCGAAAATTGTGGAACACGTTGAATATTTCCACGCATCGTGCAAACTTCATGTCAAACTATAGCAAAATAAAATTAATATACGGTCAATAATGAAATGTATTAATTTCGTGCTGAATAAATTGATTGAAATAAATTGGCAATTTTTAACTGAAACCATTGTATACAAAATCGAAGAATATATTGAACATTTCCCCATATATCCTACAAAATGCACGTCAAACTGTTGTAAAATGAAAAATCTGTTGAATTTATTGGTTCGTTTCGCGTTCTACAGCTCGACTAAAACAAATTGGCAGTTTTTACATAAAATTATCGATTGAAAAGTAGAAGAATACATCCGAACAGAAATTATTGTATCAGCAATAATGAAATCTGACGAATCGGAGGGCGAGCTCCTGGTTCCATAAATTAATTCGCTTGGAAATCACAATGACGCAAAGAACGGGGCTTCCGCTAATGAATTCCGGGAAAACCAAAGAAGCAGAATTGAATAGCTGGGCCGATTATCGTGGTTTCTTGCCGATGGGAGCGAGCCGCGGGAATCGATAATAATATCGCGGGGCCGCGATAAAACACCGACAAGCGGACACGTATGTATTTCGTTCTTTCCGCGGCTGGCAACACATCGGCGATCCGTTCGTGAGCCTCGCGAGAGGTGTTAATTAGTGCTAATTAATTCGAGCGCATGCTAATCGCTACTAATTGATTCTATGCTAATTAAGCCTTTTCGAGGTGATTGGTCTCTCTCTTTCCCTCTCTCTTCCACTTTGTATCTCTTTCTCTGTCCACTCAACCCTCTCGCAGCAGCCGCGCATCGAATGCCGGAACGCATAGGCCGTGATCGATAAATGATTAAGTATTCAACACGCGGCTGGGAAGGGAAAAAAATAGCGGACGTCGACGGAAAATAGAGCCGACCTGTAGATTCTGTCGTCGCGGAGCGTTGTTGAACTCTGATCGGTACCGGCGGTCGACCAGGCCGGGTCTTTTCGATGTTTA